TATGGGATGGACACACATACACACATTCGCGCACAAACATAAATATATATTAGGACAATATTCCGCGATATGGCAAAGAGGATTCAGCAGAAATTTTATTCAGCACCGGCACAGACATTCGATACAAGCTTTCAATAATGCTTCGGTTGCTTCACTCTATGTACCTTCTATAAACACAGGAAACTAATGTCAAGTAGGCCAATTGACATGTTACCTCGACGACGCATCAGTGACAGACACAGCAGGCAAAATAAAAGGCGAAGATCTGCAGGCGAATATAAACAATTTTGACAGTAAGATATTTCAAGATTTCTCGAACTATCTTGACATTTCTTGTTCATTCTCAATTTGGCAGAACTTCTTGGTCAGACATTATTTGGTTTCGTAATCAAACCAAACCTTTTCCAACTACCTCTAGAAAAAAGCTTGCTGCAGTTTTTATGACGTCACAATAATAAACAAACTTTCAACATGGCCGACATGAATGAGTGATTGTGATGAAATTCTCTTAAGAACTTGCATATTTTGTCGCCAATAGCTGATACGTTTAATTGGTCATAGATATATATACCGACGAGAAGTATTAATAGGAGTATATTAATAGTTTCATTACTCACCAGCTGCAGTACAAGCTTCCAGCAAAGCTTCTGTTCTTTTGGTTTCGAAACTTGCTTAGGTTTTATGTGATCTGAAGCTTTATTATTTTTCTGAACGTAACTTCTATTAAGAACAGAGAAAACTAATGTAAAGTAGGCCTATTAACATAACTTGACAGTGACAGACAGAGCAAGTTAATTGGAAGGGAAGGGTTGGGGTCACAGCCGAATAGAGACAAACACGAAGGAAGTCAAAATTTCACTTGTTTCAGCTCCTACATATAAACGTCAGAGGACAAAGATATAAATATCCAATGGTTTTAATGGATTGTTTGTTTCAGCACATTTTGGGGAACATCACCGCTTTTCTTGTGTATAAGGAAATAACACAAAAAAATAACTACAGTCTATTTTTCCTACAAATCCTTCAGAACTAAAGATCTAAACTGAAAAAAATAGAAGATTGATTTTTATTGCATATATTAACAGATTAGTAAATCTATTTTCCATAATGCAGGAATAGATAAATAAAGTCCATTTTTCCGTTTAAACAGTCATTGCTACAAGATTTAGAAAAAAAAGGCGAATTCGGTAATGCCCTTTGAGATACGTCTAATGATAAGTGATCCCACCCACAAAATTCTGCCTCGTTATGAAAACAGTCATCTCAAAGTGTTTTTCTTCTACTTTAAGAATCGTTACACTTGCAGTTTGCTCATCACGGCAAGCTCAAGAGAATATTAATCTTATGTGTATCCTAGTGTAAAGGGACCTTAGAGTTCCTTCAGCAGATGTCAAAAAAACATTAAAAATAGCGAGCAGGGGAAACTACATAAAAAGTCAAAACATGAAATTCATCCAATAGTTCAACATATATCGAATGCTTATTCCAAAGAGCGAACACATATGTCTTCAGGAAACCACGTCTGGAATAAAAAGGGAATTAGCCATTTATTCCAAACTTGTTTTCAGACTTTCTCTAGTTCTGTGTCGTTATTGCTTTGTTTTTTGTTTTTTTCTTTTTTCCCCTTTATCCGCTCCTCTGTCACTAATCATAGTGCTCAAAACAGTTTTAATAGTTTTAATAATATCCACATTCATTACAGTTTGTGGGACAACACCCAGTCTTTACTTAACACGTTGATTTTTTCTTTGAAATTATAAAGGTTAAATTCACGTACAATAATAGTTACTCATTAAACTCCCCCAATGAATGGTACATCTATTTTCTATTAGGGACCCTAACTATAATCCTAATTGCCTATCCAACTCTACATCAATTTACATATGAAACAAGTAGACCTACAATCGCAGCTAATGTATGCAAGTGTGAATACAATCTGATTATTTTTTCCATGGACATCCGGTTGTTTACTTAGACCCCTAAATACGACTGTTTATTCTACCTCAAATAAGGATTATCATTTTTTCCTTTGTTCCTTCTTGATTTCTCTATTTATTTATAATATTCTTTACTATCAATATTATGATTCCGTTTAATTAAAGATAGTAAGGGGGTCAAGAACTCGTTTAAAGACAAGAAAATGTGTTCCTAAAATATGCTCTTTCCTGTTAACATATGATTATATCGCTTGTATTTATAATAATACTTATATTCACGGAACAGTAACACATAACTTGAGCTTTCATCCAAAAAACTTAAAGATGTCAAATCAAGAATCTAGGCTAAAAATTAAGGGGTATTATTTCATATACACACCATGTTGGTTAGAAAAACAAGGTAAGTGTTTTTTAAAAAATCTTTTCAGATATTAAAATATATATTGTATATACACATCATATACAATAAAGTATACATTGCGGAACCAGCCCGCGGAGACAACAAGAACAAAACATTACGATGATTAAAACAAATAAAAAATGGGAAGATTGCATACGAAAGGAGCTGACAGCAAACGCAGTGATAATGATAAGAGAAAAATAATAGTACTGAAGAACAGCTGAGGACTAAAACGATATGTGAGAGAGGATTAATTCGAACAAATCTCCCGCCTTCTGCCTTAACCATCGGCTGTCTTTGCGCATGCCAGTCTTCCACGAAAAAAACAATGCGCACTGTGAACATAAATGTGAGCCATTGTGTATGTTGTTGCCATACCTAAGAAATAATAATAATATACAATACAACACATACCTTTGACACGGTTGTTTTTTTATAATTTTCATCACCTGTTTTTTTTCACAAGGGAAAAAAACGTGTGTATTTATCATTATATACTGCAATAGATAAGTTACTTGCTAATAATCTACTAAAACAATTAAATGGAGCTGCCAGCGGCCCCATAAGTCAACAGCGTGGATTCTATCACAATCAACACGCAAAACAAAAAAAAATAATAGTTACTGCTTTAAAAAGAAAATTGGAATCCAGTCCATTTTCTATGATTTTCCGACGAGAAATCCAGAAGACAAAATTTTAAAAATAATTGATATTCTGTTCTGTGATTTCCTAAACTAGTTTTCTCTTTTGCATATTAAAACACCATCTTCCTCACTTCTTTGGCAAGCTAATATACTCTATGGGACAGAAGACATAAGGAAGACTGATGCCGAGTCTGAGCTATAATAGTAACAGTAACTAGGAAAAAAAAAATTCCCCCTGAGTAGGTCTGTTGCAGGTCGTGGGATCGGTGGCTTCGAAATCCTAACCTACATTGATCTAATAGATTTACGCTGAGGCTTTTTATTGCATCCATAATACTGAGTCTAAAACTGTATATATATATATATATATATATATATATATATATATATATATATATATATATATATTTTATTTATTTTTTGGAGCGTACCGAATCAAGATTTTTTCTTTATTTTTTTTGTAAATCCACGACCCCTCAAAATTATGAAACCGGATGGACATTTTCCTGGAAATGGGATTCGATACCTAATTATGTCATCGTTTTTTTTCACACTACGCTAATTTGAATAACACCAGTTTTTTACATTAAATAATGAGGTGGTATCACAGGGAAAGTGGGCTCCATCTTGATGACGTCATCACAAAGACGCTCCCTGACTGAAAGGTTTTCAAATCTGTGACGTCACTACCCAAAAAAAAACTAATCTCTGACATTTCTTCATTATCATAATCTTCAATCACTGATTTTTTTCTTCTTCCTTTTATATTTCAGTTCCAAAAACTATACATAACATGAACCACCATCCAAAACAGTTGAAGTTTGATCGTACGCCTGAGAATCTGAACTCAAAAACCTCGCTATTTTTCTCTCTCTCTTTTTTTGAGTAGTATCGCCACGCAAGAAGTTCACATACACTGGGGCTTTATACACAAGACCCCTAACTGCCCCCAGGTTAGAATAGGTCCCAAGGAGACCAGGGATAAGACCTCCTTAGGTATTCTGAGAGATCGTTGCCTCTCAGCTTCTCGCAGCGTAGGATATCCAGTCAGACGTGTAGGATACTTTGTGGTAAATTCCTGTAAAGAGATAAAAAAAGGGATTTACTATATAATTCCTTGAGCATTAATACTAGCGTAGATATTCTAGAATTCATAACGGTTGCAGTACTATGAGAAGCAATGTAGATTACATGTATCAAGTTTGATCAGTGACACAATTATCGGATAATTGAACATTTAACTGAACTCGGAAGACTTAAATCTAATCATTCAAGAAAAAGAAAAAAAATATCGAGAGAATTTATATTTCTCAAAATTTAATTTCTATGTTGAAAAAAATGTATATTTAGTACGGTAAGATATGTATACTGGCGAGGACACCAGATTTTCCACAAGGCAAAAAAGTACACAATTAATAATTAAATGAAATAAACCATTTCTATCAAATACACTAAATATACTAATTACTTATTACTGGAAATAATCCTAATCAAATACTTTACAGGAATTCACACAATCGAATCCCATGAAAAGAAAAAAAACTATTCAACCATAGAACCAAAACAATTAACTCCCCCATAAAATAATAATAATAATAATAATAATAATAATAATAATAATAACAATAATAATAACACCAATGACAAAGGAAAAACACACAGAACAGCAAATAACACACAGCTGTCTCTACACATACCTGGCTGCTTGGACTGAGCGCACGAGTAGCCGGCAGACACGATGCCAGCGAGGTACCAGCGCCCGCCGTCCTGTATCATCAGAGGACCTCCGGAGTCCCCCTGGCAGGAGTCCTTCCCGCCCTGGTTGTAGCTGGGAAGAGGAAAGGCGCCGTTAAGAGATTTGGGAAGAGATCTCGGTCATTATGGGACGGAAAAGAAAGAAGGGCGGGTTTTGCTGTGTGGTGGTGACGCCGGTAATAATATTAGCGATGCAGTGGGATATTTTAGAAGAGATGGGGGCGGGTTACGTTGTTGTATTATGGTGATGGCAAAAATAATAATAATAATAATAATAATAATAATAATAATAATAATAATAATTATAATTATAATTATAATAATAGTAATAATAATAATAATAATAATAATTATAATAATAATAATAATAATAATAATAATAATAATAATAACGATTATATGGTTATTACAGAAACAAACAAAAATATTACAGGGAAAACAGAACATTACTTTTTTTAAGCACACGTTAAACAAGCAGGAAAAAAACAAGACGAAGAGAAGTATTCCAAGAACAGGATCCTTACCCAGCACACATCATTTCGTCGTGAATAATGACGTTGATGCCCCGCTGCCGATGCCAGTCCTCGCACAGGCGGGAGTCCAGGATGGGCACGTCCACCACCTGCAGTGTCTTGGGCCGGAGCTTCGAACCTGGAAGTGAAACATGGTTGATTCATGATGCTTAAGCTTGAGAGGAGGAGGAGGAACAGGAACAGGAACAGGAACAGCAGGAGGAGGAGGAGGAGGAGGAGGAGGAGGAGGAGGAGGAGGAGGAGGAGGAGAAGAAGAAGAAGAAGAAGAAGAAGAAGAAGAAGAAGAAGAAGAAGAAGAAGAAGAAGAAGGAGGAGGAGGAGGAGCAGCAGCAGGAGCAGGAAGAAGAAGAACAAGAAGAAGGAAAGGAGTAGCACATCAAAAAATGAAACCAACAACCCACACGCGACGCCACAGCACAAAAAACGAAGATAAACTAGGCACACGATCGTGCAACGTACCAGCCTGCAGCGCTCCCCAGCCGGCGGCCCAGGCGATACTCCCCAGCCAGTCCGTCCCCTTCTCCGGCAGGCAGATGGGCTGGATGTGCGGTTCGTAGGCCACAGGGGCGTCGAGGGTGATCACGGCCACGTCGAATCTGTCGGCCTGGGGCGTGAACTTGAAGTTTGGATGAACCTGTTGGGAGGAGAGAGAGAGATATGAAAATATGTTTACTGATATATTACCTCTTTATGGATATGTATAAGTAACTCTACACAGGGTAACACGTACGTACTGTTATATAAATCCACAGTGTTATATCCCCATCAATGTAAGAATAACTGTCATTTTTCTAAGACATATCTATCATTGACAAATACGTTAGCATACATTCACAGATAAACATCTGTATAACATTACGTCGCAATGGACACATTAAAGCCGACTTAGTCACAAACACACACTATACAAGCCCACGAACAAAGACACTTAGCTCCATCTACCCAAGAGCCAGATCAAAAGCGCATTAAGCTCTTCACAACCTTGCACTCGTCCTCACCTTGATTTCAGAAGCCCCGTAGATGCGTGGGTTGAAGTGTTCCTTGTTGGAGTTGAGGATGTAGTCCCCGAGAGTCACCCGGATCTGATGTGCTCGAGCCCTGGGGAGGAAAAGTGGTTTTAATAATAATGATGATGATAATAATGATGATGATAATAATGATGATGATAATAATGATGATAATAATGATGATGATAATAATGATGATGATAATAATGATGATGATAATAATGATGATGATAATAATAATGATGATAATAATTATGATGATGACTGGGCAACAATAATTTATTTTTGTAATATTATTGTTACATAAGTAAACGGTCACTTTCCAATATTGGCATTTATGTCACTATACAATATGGTATCGCTGCATATAATGTTTAGTTGTATTACATTTTCGTTCACTTATTCTATTCTTGCAATCATAGATATCACATACTATACTTTCTCTATATAAAAAAAATATATATATATCTTGCAAACTTTAGATCCTACAGAACACAAAAACATCCAAAAACATTTACTCATGATCAAAAGACTTCAAAATCAGTGAGATGTCGAATCATCTTAAACTAAACTATAAGTCTTCATACAAAAGGACTAACCTCGCTACACAATGCCCAGCAGTGACCACGTGGTACTGGTTGATGAGGGAGCCACCACACCGACTGGATCCAATTCTGATGTAAGCCTGTGGTAGAAAAAATGGTATTATTTATTTTAACCCAAATTCTAACGAGAAAGATATCATGTTCTGTTTGATGTATTCCAAGTAAAAGAATTATATGCCAGTGATATATCTTATTGTTTATTTATTTATCTATTTATTTAATTTTCTTTTAGCATTCATTAAGTTCCATCCCGCTTCTCACCGTCCAAGGGAAGGAGCCGAACCCAGCTTCCGTGCCTCCAACGATCCTCCTTTGCGCGGACAAACGGCTGCTGGCACTCAGTCCGCAATCTGGAGGAGGCAAAGGCGCGGCGTTAATGAAAGACTCCCTGATTATTCGCCACAATATCATTCAAAATCCCTCATGATATCAGAACTTAGAAAAAAGAAAACAATTCCACAAGAGCCAACAAAATCCGCCTCGCAGACGCCACCTCTGTCGTTCCTGATGGGGCCGTAGTCGACGGGGACGAAGCCCGACTTGTCGTCGCGGTACGACTCGTGGCCGCGCTGCCCCCGGTTGTTGGGTCTCGTGCAGCAGGCGAAGAGGAAGCCGCCGCAGCCGCCGTCGATCAGGCCCCCGCTGAGCCAGCAGAAGAGGAAGAACTCACAACTACCGCTGTAGCAGAGGGACTGGTCGCCTAAGAACAGCCTCTTGGTGGCGCGCGACAAGTCCTCTGGAGGAGAAAGTTGGTGTTAGAAATGGCGTTAGAAATTGTACTAGTGTAGGATTATTAAGCAACATATTATAGTTTTCAATATTGCATTAGATTTGGCGATTATATGTAGCTTATTCTGTACCGTAAATATTGTAATCATGATCAATTCGGTAACAAATGCCAAATATTCCTGTCAAAATTATTTTCCAAAATACTCAACATAGTACCCATTCCTTCGCATGGAAATCAGTCCCCAAAACGATCTCCCCCATGCAATAAAACCCGCAATACACAGCTTCACTCTGAACTCACGGTTGCCGCTTCTCCGCTGGGGCGTCGTCCGGGGGTTGCGGTCCAGCGGGAGGGCGTGGGGTCTGTCGACGGGTCCTCCAGGGCCCTCCAGATTCCCTCCGAGCATGAGGTGCTGCTCCAGCGCCGCGACGCCCGAGCCGCTGATGCCAAGACGCTCGGCGATCTGTGTAGCTTGAAGGGCGTCCAGGCTGAACCTACCAGGAGTAAGACATTAAGCTCTACACGCTCTCCAGGAAGAGCTCTCCGGGAGACTAGGACTGCCGGCTCGCTTGCTCTTTCAAAGTCTCTCTCGCAATATATTTTTTTATAATTGATTTTTACTTTAGGGGATTTCGAAAATATTCATATTTAGGAGACTATTCTGAAATGCGGTTGATACGTTTTAGACTTTAAACTGGCAACAAAAGAATGCACGAAGTCTAATAGGAAATGTCTGTATTCACTATTATTTTATATTTATTTTTTGTAATCTTTTTCTTGACGTTAAAGACATTTCATAGAAGAAAATGAACAGGAAAATGTTTGTCTCGACCATATACGTGCTCAAGAATATTAAGCATGGCCAAAATATCAAATGAACTTTAAAGATATGTCTCATGGGAATGAAATAGTTAGGCCTAAAATGCGAGACACGCATTGTGTTGAATTCAAGTATCACAAAAAATGTATATTTGCTTCAGCAGTTACTATGTTATTAGCTTCATAGTTAGACTAAATACAGAAACCAAGCAAAACCATGGCTAAACCCTTTTATCACTGACTGATAACACTCCCACGTCAAAGGAAAGAAAATAGAAAATCAGTCGGGGAAACAGTCGTCACAAGTCGATCCAGGAAGGTAAAATTCCTGACATTTTTTTTTCTTTTCTTTTCTTTTATAACGAATCATAAACAAGGAGGAGGACAAGACGCCGTCGACCACGAGTCAAGATGTCTCCCGCGTCAGCCTACGTCATGGCCGTGTCGTGACTCGCTAAGGGTCAGTTAAGGGTGACAAGGGTGACTGTAACATTGTCAGCCTCCCCCTCCTGCTGCTGCTGGGTGACTGTATTACATTGTCAGCCTCCCCCTCCTGCTGCTGCCTGTAAGGTCGAGTCCGTCATAGTTCTGTTTGAGATAATGCACTTAAATGGACATCACATACACATGCATGCATACACACATCCGATTCAGTATAAATTGCAGTTGTAAGTTCTTGTTGTTTTTTCCAATTTGTCGCTCTAATAGTTTAATTTTGACTAATGTTAATCAGCTGTTAGATATCCAAGAGTCTGTGAGTGATTCTTCACGTCTCCACGTGGTTAAATAAAGTTACTGAATTAGGATTAAAGGTCCTTGATTACCTACAGTCGTGCCCTGAAAAGTCGTCCCCCTAAAATCCTCACTCCCCAGCCACAACGAGGGGAGTAAGGACGACCTACCGCGTCAGGATGCTATTGAACTCCTCGTGGGAGAGAGTGGCGTTGTGCTCGGGAAGTTCCGTGATGGACAACCCGCCGGTGCTGTTGGCGAGGTGGAGCAAGGACGAGAGGGCGTTGGTTGGAGGGCCGGTCGCGCTGTCGCTCTCCCCGACGCCGTGGTGGGGGAGGGCAGCCGCAGAGCTGGGCTGGTAGGGGTCGACGGGGGACGGGACGAAGGGCGGCAGGGGCGTCTCAGGGGCAGAGGTGGGGGGCGAGTCCGTCTCCTCGAGGATCGGGTCTTCGGTGCGGGGGGGCGAGATAAGGTCCTCGGCTTGAGAAGGACCATGACTAGGGACGAAGAGTTCCGCTGGGCTGTCGGTGTCATGCAAGGGGGCGGGCAGCTGGTCATGCGACAGGGAGGGGATTATGTCATGAGGATCTGTGGGGAGGGCAGAGGGGGAGAGGGCAGCGGGAGAGGGATGGGAAGGAGGGTTCACTGGGCTCGGGAGGGGCTGAGGACTGAGGTTTCCGAGGCCTGGGGTTGCCAGGAGGAGAAGTGAAGCCGCCGCCACATGGTGGAGCATGGCCGACACCCGACCAATCTGGAAGAGACGAGTGGAAGTCAGCATAATGTACATCTTTCACTGCAAAAATAGTTTCCATTCAATGAATACTTAAAAGGCAGTTTCCCTCCCGACATATACCGCATAACAGATTCATAAGAGCAGAGCCATATTTCAGACTAACAAATTAAAACAATCAGATTGAATTTTACGCTTTAACAAACTGAAACACAAGGGAGTAACTTCAACCACTAGCGAAGTTTAGCAAAAATAGATACCCAAAAATGTCCAATTCTCCTCCCAAAAATAAGTGAAAGAAACCAGAGTATCCATCACATAATGAACCAAAATATTAAAACCATTCATTACGTATTCAAGTACATACCATATTACGATAATGCCACCGGAAGCTGCATTGACCTATGAGAGAGAGAAAAAAAAACATTCAGTAATCTTTTTTTTAACGTTTGTTGTTTTTGTTTATATGTTTCACATTATACAATCTGCCTAAACTCTACTTTTCCCTTTCAGCCTACACTCACACAAACCAGGGAAAAGGCAGCACACTGTTACAAGTACACATCAATGGCATAAATAACAAATAAATAGATGAGCAAATACAATAAAGATGATATAAGAATCTTAAATATATATTAAAAGCCTTAACTCGCGCAGGAATTTTCGAAGCAGATCTGAAATGAATTATTGCAACAAGGAGAAAAAGTTTTCCAAATGCCTTCTAACTCCATTCAGATACTGGTGACGTTACACACATATCTAAATCTGTATATATTTATCTATCTATATTTATGTCTATCTGTCTATCTATCTATCTACCTATATATCTGTCTACCTATGTATGTATGTATGTCTGTATGTATGTATGTATGTATGTATGTATGTAGCTACCTATCTACCTATATATACATATCTACCTATATATACATATCTACCTATATATACATATCTACCTATCTACCTATATATACATATACATATAACTATTTTGTACACACAATAAGAGGTGTGCTCAGTAGCTTACAAAGGTTAGGAATCCCATATTTAGTACACCACGATAAGGGATTTCGATAAACGTAATTAGGGACAGATCTTTTCGATTAATTAAAATTGCTGTAGGTTTTGTAAATATGTGGATGCTGATTCGCTCCATCTCTGATCTATTTCCTAATATCCTCAGCATCTCATTCTAAAACTGTGGATACAGCGGAGGATTTTTGTGAAGATGATGAAAATTTTATCGCCGGTACACCTTGAAGACATGGTCGCATCCCCCCCCCCTTTTCAAATTCATCGATATATTAGTCTGTTGATAATAAGCTTCTTCTGAAAATTCACCGAACGTCTATTCTAAAAGTAAGTTGAAGTATAGGTAAAGCCTTTATTCCATCCACATTCCGCAAGTTTTTCTTTTCTTTTTTTTGTATTTAATTTAGGTCTACGTGAACTAGTAAGTTCTGGGATTTTATCTGACACATTGCTATTCATTCAAGTGTAAATGGTGTACCTTATAATAAATACAATAAAACAAATATGTAGAGTATTTGGAAGGCAATTGGCTTAAAAAGTAAATGAAAAAGATATTCACATTTTCATTCTTTTACTTGAATTGTCACTAGGTTATCGACAGAAAATGTTGACATTCATGTATGAACGCCATATCTGCAGTGAATAAAAGATAATAATAATAAAAATGAGTGACTGGTAATGCTCGTATTTCGAAAGAATATGCAAAACATCTATCATTTGGAAAGTAATTTCTAAACGACATAGATGAACAAATATAAAAATCTGCGTCATGCGACATTTTCCCGCGCTTTCTGCATCAGCGGTCGATTGTCAGCTGTTTTCTTCCAAAATGTTGACAGTGCTTATCCATCTTGAATGAATAAGCAAAAAATATTATTGAAAGAATAATGGTATTTTTTCAAGCCAACTCCAGTAAAGCCCATATAATTTGTGATGATTAAATCATATAGAAAAGGGAGAAAAAACACAGGCAAGAGACGATAATATTTCACATCAATATGAAGGCTTCATTCCAATAGAAGCAATTACATTTTTAAAGGAAGACACTATTTTAGGCCCTACGAAAGAGTTCGTGAAGTAAAACTAATTATATCTAATCATCAGAGTGTAGGTCGTGAACTGTTTAATTGAAACCTCGATCAGAGCTGACGTTACAGAGACTCGATAACGAAAACAATACCATCTGTCATCTTATCCCTTTCACTTCAAATATGAAATGAGTGTAAAGCTTGCATTCGTGAACAGATTTAGATGTTTATATGCATCACATATGTTTGTATAAATGGTATATACACAGACACAGAGAGAGAGAGAGAGAGAGAGAGAGAGAGAGAGAGAGAGAGAGAGAGAGAGAGAGAGAGAGAGAGAGAGAGAGAGAGAAATATACCAGCTCTAGAACAACCAAAGGCCGCCAAGCAGGGCTACCCATACATCCATCAGCCACTGGTCAAGGAATCGCCACTCAAGTCAAGAACACACTGTATCCCTCACCCCTCACAGCCTCACTTTTGAAGGCCATCATTTTGGGGTTTCACAGAGATGTACGCAGCATTGTATCATGAGAGACGACAACTCGATT